AGGAATGACATGTCATTAAGAAACATTTCCATAGATATCACATATATCTCAAAGGGTGCAGGTAGCATACCGATGCATCCATAGCTATAGAGGTAAGGTGCACCTTCAAATTTCATCATGGTATATAATTTTGATGTAAAATGTTCTTAGGATATCTTAAAATCTATTTTTATAGCTAACTATAAAATTTTAAATTTCAAAAATGGTTAAAATCAAGTAGATCTATAAACATATGAAAATCTTGAAAATGGACCGTGTAGATAATAATATGTTGCACATTGCACTATTTCTGAGACTTAGAATCTTTTTATTTTTCATGGTCATACATCTCGATGTCAAGATGATCAATCAAAGGGTTTTTCAACATTAAAACTACCTTTTCCAATAGATTTTTGAGGTGCATCCGTAGTTCTACATATAAGGTTGTAACCTTATATAAACTTTTTCCTATCTCAAAACCTTGGATATATAATTAAGACTACTACTTTGATTTTACCCAATCTTAGTTTTACTTATAATAGGATTTCTATGGGTCAGTGATTTTGCCTGTCACTTACTCAAACAATCTACAATGCCAACATCCATAAAATAGCCTCATAATTTCTTTCTTTTTGCCAATCAAATCCTTTGATCGTTCTTGCTTAAAAAGGTTGTGTTTGTCGTCATAATTCTCTATCTCAAACAAAATACTTACATATTTTGAGATGTGCTTTCTTTTGCTAAATGCATAAACTAGAGCCTTGTATAGAACCATGTGCTCTGACACTACTTGTTAAATTTCAATAACTTTCTTATATGCAGAAATAGGAAACATAAATATTGGATCTCACTAAGATCTTATACTTAACCCGTTAGAAATAAAATCAGTGGGAGTACGGTCCATAATATGAGCACGAGAAATAAAGCATAATAATACACCATAAGAGCATAAAGTTTTACATATTCACCCCAAAAAAGCTAAATCACATGCATGACAAACTAAAATCCATTATACTAGTCAAATTGACATCACATATTTTGGGACATATAGTTACCTTTCTAATACTTGTCAAAAACTAGTTGAGAAACACTTTTAAATCAACACTCTCAATAAACATCGCTTACTGATCTTTGATATCTATTCTAAAACTAAACTATTATTTAGAAAGAGAATCTTGAGAGTAATCAAGACTTTCTCTTATTAAAAGGGGATACCAGCAGAATATCTATTGGAATCATTTCTCTACAAGAAATTAACCTTTCACTTTGCAAGACGTAGCATGACAGTGTTTCTCTCTCTAAAAAGCTCACTTATCTCTATATGGAAGCCTTGCATCTCTATGCAAGAAGCCATTGCCTCTCTCTCTAAGGAAGCCACATGTCCTACACAGTGGCCCAACACTCATATTATTTCCCTCTCAATGAGATCATTTACCGTTGATACAAGGTGGTCATAATTAATTTTGACTATTGAATTTGAAATTAGGTGGTTGCATTTATTTTATTGACCAAGCTCAAAGTTCAAAAAAAAAATTATTGAACTTTGTGACACACCTAAGCTATTAGATTACACATAAATGGTTATAAGTAATTATAACCCCCCTATACCAAAGATAAATGGCCACTTTGTATACAATCCCTTTTTGGAATTCATTCCCCTTCGAAACTATTTTAAGCACTCTATTCCATTTCCTATATGCCTCTCCAATAACTTCAATGACTTCGGGAGATGAGTGTTCTTAATGCCTTGGATCTATCTCTAGATCCCATGGCAGCAGCTTGCATTTAAGCCCCCAATTGTTGAATCGATTTCAAAACGGTTACTGATATGGATTAATGCAAAGAATATTTGAATCAATATCTCTTATTATATCCTACTTAAAAATATTATCAAATAGTTGACATGCATCTAATTTAATTACACAAAAAAAACATAAGCATATACCTACAACTGACGCTCATCTAAACTATGAATCAATATCTTCTCTTTTCTTATTTTTTCTTTTATTTTCTTTTTTTTCCTTTTTTTTTTTTTTTATTACTCTTGGAATCCATCATTTTCTGACGTTTTAGTTGGATAGCAAGTGGCGTTGCTTGTTTTCCAACGTCCCTTTGCTTCTCTCACATGCAACTTCATCTATCCGCAACAAACATGGCCTACTACTCTTTCTTCTAAGAGAGAGATGATGAATGGTGAAGGGGCCTCCTCCTAAATTAAAGCCTGGTTTTCAAGCTTCTCTTCAAGTTTTTAGTGTGAGAAAATGGGTTTAGAGAGAGAATATTTAGACACGGTCCTCGTACCATTGGGCCTATTCCTGATGATAGGTTACCATCTTTTGCTGCTCTATAGATTCTTAAGGCTTCCCGAGACTACAGTCATTGGTTATGAGAACCACAACAAGAAGGCTTGGGTGCAGAGAATGATGCAGGTTCCCTCTTTCTCTCTCTATCTCTCTCTCTATTTCTGAAAAAGTAAAATTAGAGACATTGGCTTGCATGTTCCAAGAACATTAATCCTTTTAGCAGCACTTTCCTCCCAGAAAAGAAAAAGACTAGCTATTTGACTGTTTCTTCATTTGTTTATCTGAAAAGGAAAAAGTTTAAATAAGGGTGAGGATTTAAATAATCAAATCAAAGTGCACATCAAAAATTTAGTAGAAAAGGTTATGTCAATGCTAAAAATCTTCAAATTCGATCATCTCCAACACAAAATGTACGAGTATAAGAAAACATAGATTCCAAGCCTTGGAAATAATGCATTTTGTAATGTATTATATAGATAGCCACTTTCAAGATTTTCAAGTATTCATAAATCTCGATCTATATTATTTTTTAATCTTTAAATTTTTTTAGTGATGAAAATTAATTTTCAGGTCATCATAAAGATTTTTTTATACTGAAAATATATGTCGGCTCTATTTAAAACTACGCTATTGTTTAGGACCTCAGCCTCGTACAAACCACGCCCTATAAATATAATAATAATGAGAATCACCCCAACGAAATAAGTCACCCTCTCTAGCCTCTTCCCCCTCCCTTTTACAGGAAAAAATTTACCTTCTTTCTGCCCTCTTCCTTGCATCTGGTGCAAGTAGCGCGTATACTATGCTTTTACAGGAGCATATTGTATATCTATGCCCTAGGTTATAAGATGCGTTTGGGAGGATTCTTTTCAATCTAGAACCACCTAAGACTTATTAGATAATTATTTTCAAAAGACACAATTTCTAACACTTGATTCTCACCTTTAAAAAATTGGGCAAACCTCTAATCAATATTGAGACATTATTTTTTTCAAGTGCATAGACATAGTGCAATTGAAATTATTTTTTATTGAGTATAGTCTATGGGTTTAAAAGGTTACATCATCGAATTTTGGTTCCTAAAAATACTCTTAGATTGAATTCGACCCCAGGGAATAAATCCAAGAAGATGAAATCTTTTGGCTACTCATATCATTACTCTTTATTCCTTTCTCCTTTTTCTAATACTCTTTTTCTCAGCTGTACTACGTTGTTGCCCATGAGCCATTTTACATTGAACTTGGCATTTATTACCTCACAAAAGTAAGGCATCATTAATTTCCTTTCAAATAATTTCTGCTTCAATTCTTATTTAAGCAACTATTTTCTTCTAAAGGAAAAAAAGGCAACAATTTATGGAGAATGATACTTTTGTACACTTTCACATAATGTGCGTGTTACTCCTTAACCTTACCCGTACAAGTAGATACCATAAAAATTTTGTTATTATTTTAGAAAAATATTGTTCCTGTTGTACGTAGTTGAATATTGATAGAAATGTCATCCATAGTGAACTTTATAAACCTTTATTGGGAAGTGTCTCACTTTTGAGTTCTCTTGCTCCCTTTTGTGCCCTTTGGATTCTCTTGGTACAAGACTTAGTAGGAGAGGACTAAAGTCCTCCTTTCCTTCTTACTAAGCAATGGGGAAGGTGGCCCAACCCTAAAAAAGTAGGGCTGACGATGGGGCAGGTGGCCCGGCCCTAAAAACGTAGGGCTTACGCCACAAACTATTGCCCTAGGGTCCGGTTAGGGCCGGTGTTAGTCCGGTTCTTCCCGACCTAGCCCTCTTTTTATTCTTTTTTTTTTTTTTTATTTGTTTTTGGCTTGGACCGCCCAACAAAGAGCATTTTGTATGTAACTTGAAAAATGATAATTTTTTGGAAACTAGTGGGAATGGTTTTAGGAAATTTGTGGGGGAGCATGGCAATCAAGCAGATAATATGAGTAGCTATTTAAAGGGCAATGTCTCACCACTCCATTTTAAACAGGTTATTCAAATTATTGGGGAAAATAGATTACATATTTTTGGTCAAAAAGTAATCTTAACTATAAGAAGAACCACGACATTTGCAACACCATCATTTCTTCCATGTGCTTATGTGGGAAGTGGAAACTGTCAAACCGAGTTTTGCACCTTGACAGTTTTGAGGGAGAGATAATTAATGAAGAACTGAGTTGCATTGGTGGACCCAAATTTTGATTTTTAGACACGATCTGCACCATTCATTGTAAATGGGCAGCCCCTAACACACCAAAACTAGAACCATAATCAATACTATGATGCACATTATTCTATCAAATAAGTTATCAATAAGATCATAATCATGCAACTAATGTTTAAAAAATATCAAAACCAGTTTAGCACCTGACAGTGTTGGGGGAGAGAGAATTAATGAAGAGCTGCGGTGCATTGGAAGACCCAAATTTTAAATTTGAGACACTACCTGCTCCATTCATTGTAAATGGAGGGCCCATAACATACCAAAACTAGAACCCATAATCAATACTATGATGCACATGATTATAATAAAGGGTGTGGATTGTACAGAGCCGAGGCTCTAAACGATCAAAGTAAAGCGCACCTCCAAATAGTGTCAAGAGTGTGCTTTTAATATTGGAAATCTTTGTGATAGTATTAAAATATAGTTTCATCTTTAATTATAAAATTTAAAGCTTAAAAAATAGTGTAGATTGAGCAGATAAATGAAAACTTGAAAATCTTAAAAATTAACAGTCTAAAAATACATTACAAGATACACCATTTCCAAACTTGAAATCTATTTTTTTCTCATGTCCATGCATCTTAATGTCGAGATGATCAATTTGAGGATGATCAATTTGAGGATATTTTTGTAAATAATTGTTTTTATATTTTTATTAGGTGCGTCTTGATGAGAAGAACACACGTCAAAATTTTCAAATAATTTGGATTTGTACAAAAAAAATTAAAATTCAAACACGAAATAAAGTCGTGACCGTCACATCGGCCCAGATTCAATCTGGGCCGTTGGGCTCATATGTTCATATGAGCTAGTGAGCTAATCCCAATTTTTTCCTTATATATATATATATATAAACAAAACGCCCATAGGCAAAAATGAACAGTGATTTCACATACCCTCATCACTGTCCAAAGTTCATCATATGGTCATGATTGTCCGGTAGTATTTCATTTTTTATTTCTTTTTTTACAAATCGGAATGACTTGAAATTTGGAGCATGTGTTCATCAAAAATAGATGAATCTATAAAAAGTATCAAAAAAATATTTTACATGAAAACAATTGAACAAAATACCCTTGAAATGTTTCAAGGGTATTTTGGTCAATTTATTTTTACAAATTATTTTTTTTATATTTTTATTATGTGTGCCTCACTAATATGTACACACGCTCTAAATTTTAGGTCATTCTAATTTGTAGAAAAAATAAAAAATAAAAAACTACCAGACAATCGTAACGGTGCAATGAACTTTGGACGATGATGAGGGTAGGCGAAATCACTGTTCATTTTCGCCTATAGACATTGGAAAGATTTCTCTATATACTCACTGTTCATTTTCGCCTATAAACATTGAAAAGATTTCTATATATATATATATATATATATATATATATATATATATATATAGTACGTAACTTACAACAGTCACACATATATTAAG